ATATTGGATCTTCTGGTACCAGGTCAGGTTCCCTTGTTGGGCAGGGACTTCACTGACAGAAGGTCTACCTTTCCTCAGGTAGTCTATTGCAACACAGGCACTCCCTCCTGCCGGGTTGCACTCACAGCCCCGGCCCAGCGCAAGGGAGCTGCTCTGGGGAGATCTTGTGGCCCCAGGGGGAAGCGGGGAAGAGAGGAAGGTGTACCTGGATGAAGGCTGGGATGGGATTCGGGAGAGCTCCGCAGGGTGGAGCCACCACTGCAGGGCGACCAGAAAGTCGAGGGGGGCGGGGAAAGTCTGAATTTCTCCTAGCCGAAGCCCTCGGGCCAGGAACAAACTCACCCCTCCTCCAGTGGATGTCTGCTGGAAGTTCACTGTCTCTTGCTGGTCAGGAATGTGACTGAGCTGATTCAGGGCCTGCCTGTCCTCCTCATGAACTATTAAGGAGCTATGGGGAAGAGGAAATTTTTCAACAAATGGGATGGTGTGGGAGGTCCTTCTGTCTATGTTTTGCCTTTGTTGGTTAATGAATAAAGAAACTGCCTTGGCCTGTTGATAGGACAGAACTTAGGTATGTGGGGAAAAATTGGACTGAATGCTGGGAGAAGGAAGACAGAGAGAGAGAAGCCATAGAACTGCTGGAGGCAGACATGCTGAAACTTTGCTGGTAGGTGACAACCTAGTGGTGATGCACAGATTACTAGAAATATGTTAAATTAAAATGTAACAGTTAGCCAATAAGAAGTCAGAGCTAATGGGCCAAGCAGTGTTTTAAATAATGTAGTTTCTTGTGGTTATTTTGGTTCTGGGCAGCCGGTCTGAACAAGCAGCCTCCTACCACAGTGGGAAATAGAATATAGTGTTATGATGTAGGATTACCCTCTGTATGCTGTGAATACCATTGGTTAATAAAGAAGCTCTTTTGGGCCTGCGATACAGTAGAACAGAGCTAGGTGGGGAAAAGTAAACTGAATGCTGGGAGAAAGAAGGTGGAGTCAGAGAGAAGCCATGACAGATGTTGGAATTTACCTAGTAAGCCACAGCCTCATAGTGATATATAGATTAATAGAGATGGATTAATTTAAAATATGAGTTAGCCAGAAATATGCTTAAGTTATTGGCCAAACAGTATTGCAAATAATATGGAATTTGTTTGTGTTCATTCTCTTCCCTCCACTATCCTTCCCTTTCCCATTGGCACCCTTCATCTTCCAAAACAGTTTCCTTATGATTTCATAGTGTGTGTGTACTTTTTTCTCATAGTAAATTCTCATCATTAAAGTATATGTAGTAGTTTTTATTCAGTTAATGTCAAAAAGATCTGAGCTCTGCTTTTGTCAGTTGTTATCATTAATTTCTGCTTTTTTAAACTTCATTATGTGTTATCCTATAATGCTTGCAGTTTGCTTTATCTCATGGTTCTTTTCTTTTTGGATTGTCATTTTTCTCCTCCATACCATGAAACTACCTTTCTATTCTGGCATTGTGTTTTATTTACTTTGAACAAGTATACAACCTACTGAGTCTAGTTAGTATTACTTATATGTACAATCATTTAGGACTGATCACTTGGGATTACTTATCAGGAGAAAACAAGATTGCAATACTAGAGAAAACTTATTCTCTTTCTCTCCCTTTTCCCCCTTCTCTCTTTCTCTCTTTACAGCCATTGATTGTACATAGTTTTGCATCTAGGGGGTGAGTGAAAATTTCCTCAGTCTATATTAGTATGTCAACTGCTGTTGTCTCATGCTGATCTTGTTTAGGTGACTGTATTCTGAGATTTCATGGGTATAGCTTCCCTATCATACATAGAAGACACTGTTTTGTAGCACATATCATGGTACTCTGGCTCTTACACTCTTTCCACCCCCTTCTCCTATGATATTCCCTGGCTCTTAGGTATAGGGGTTGTGTTGTGGACTTATTAATTGGGGTTGGACACCCCATAGTCATTTGTTCTCTATATTTTGGCAAGTTGTAGATCTTGGTAGTAATTTTTGTATGCTACAAAATAAACTTCTTTGATTGGGGGTGAGAACTAACTACACTTACTTTTAAGTATTTACAATACAGTTAGAGATTGTGATTTAGGAAAATGGCAGTGGTAGGTTCTCCTCTAGGGTCTGTGATCACTCCAGCCATGGATAATTGGCTAGCTTTACAGTACCAGGCATAATTTTCCTCTTATTGAGTAGTCTATTGGTTACCCTCAAAATATAGTTGCCATTATTGCACTAGTGGGGATGTCATGCCTGCTGGTCATTGTCCTGGTTTGCAAGCTTAACAGCTAGGTGGGACTATTGATTCCTTTTCTCCCTTGACAGCTTGCATAGCAACTTCTGATACAATGAGAATTTGTCCTCAGGGAGGAGGCTTCTATATCATTTCCAGTTCAATCCCTGCAAATTTTGTGTCTAAAGTATGCAGTGTCTTCAGCAATAGGATCTTACACTCTGGTAGGTGATCAAGGGTCTATGTTACTTTATTAGTCTCTTAGATCTGCTCTTACCAACAACTTGAAGAGAAGTTTCCTATGCCTGGCTTCTTTGTTTTATTGTTTTTTGTTTGTTTGTTTTACATAATAATGGTTGTTGGGGAGAGCATTATCATCCCATGTGGCATAATTCTATTTAAACTGTGTGCGTCTGTGTTTAAGTAAACTTTTAAAATGTTTTTATATGCTTTTTCAAACATCTTTAGTGTTATTTATCTCTCTTTCCTGCCTCTATTTCTGTATTACCCTTACTCCTTCACAATTAAAGCCCGTCCCTGTTTTCTCCTTTCCCTCTTCATAGAACCACTGTTCTATTATACCTCACACCTACAGCTCTTATCCCCTATTCCCACCATGGTCCTTTTCTACTTTTCTTGCTTCTTCTGTTACTTCAGGTTATATATCCAAATCTAAAGATTTAGAACAAGGATCCACAAATAAGAGAGAACATGTGACATTGCTCTTTCAGAGTGGGGGTTACCTCAGTATATTCTCCAGATCCCTTTATTTTCCTGAGGATTTCATGATTTCAGTTTTCTTTACAGCTGAATAGGTTTCCACTGTATATGTACCACATTTTCAGTATCTTTTCATCAGTTAAAGATCATTTATGTAGTTTCCATATCATAACTATTGTAAATAGAGTGATAATGAACATAGCTGCATAGGAGGAAATCAAGTTCTTAGGATATAAGGTTTTTGGTTTTATGAGGTCTTATTTTTCAATTATTGACTTTAATTCCTGAGAAAATACAGTTCTTTTAATAAAGTTATTTTCTATACCTTTATCTTATAAGGTACTGCCTATGTTTTCTTTTATCAGTTTTAGTGTTTGAGGTTTCACATTAAGGTCTCTGATCTATTTGGAGTTGATTCTGTGCAGGATGGTAGACATGGTTTTTATTTCATTATTCTACATATGAACATCCAATTTTCCCAATATCATTTGTTGAAAATGGTGTGTCTTTCCTCCAGTGTATATTTTTAGCATCTTTGCCATATCAGAGGATTCTAATTACATTCACTCATGTTTGAGTGTTCTATTATGTTCCATGGGTCTACATGTCTGGGTTTTTTTTTTTGCCATTACAATGCTCTTTTTTCTTTATTACTTTAGCTCTGTATATAGCTTGAAATCTGTTATGGCAATCCCTCCAACATTGATCCTTTTGCTCAGGATTGCTTTGGCTATGCAGGGGCCTTTATTGCTTCCATAGGAATACTAGGAATTTTAAAATTCCTTTCATGTATTTTATTTTTCATTTTTGCTTTGTGGTTTAATTCCTCGACTTTATCTTCAAGTCTGTATATTCTATTTTCTACTTGATTGATTCCTGCAAATCATTTTTCTGAGTTTTCTACTTGGGTTATTGATGTTTTTCAACTTCATCTTCATTTCAGCTTGAATTTTCTTCAGCATTTCTGTCTGTTTATTGAATACAGTTTTAAAATCCTGATTTTTTTCATTTCCTGGTTTTCATTTAGTTCAGTGGTTCTCAACCTTTCTAATGCTGTGGCCCTTTAATATAATTATTCCGGTTTTGGTGACCCTCCAACCATAAAATTATTTCATTGCTACTTCATAACTGTTTGCTACTATTATGAATCATATTATAAATATCTGATATGCAGGATATCTGATATACAACCCCTAAAGGGGTTGCAAACCACAGGTTGAGGACCTGACCTAGGCAATTCTCATTGAGTCATATTTCTGCAGGACTGGTGAATATAAGGAGGAGACTACAATCTTGTTCTTTTATAGTATGTGTGTGCTTGATTACACACATGTTGATCTGGGTTCGTGGACTTCTTTCATTGATTATGGGTCTGATGTGAAATTCTAGACTGACTCTGTTGTATGGAAGTTTGGTTTGGTTTTGCCTTTGCCCAAGCTTGTATGGTTTAAAATCTGGTATGAAGAGTTAGTAGATTAGTCCTTTAGGCACTTGGTACTGATTGTTGATTGGTGCTGTGGGAATTAGTTCAGTGGTAATGAAGAAAACATGCAAATGTGACTCCCAGTTTGATATGCCTCAGCTAATGCACATGCTGTACTATCTAATATAGGCTTGGGAGTGTGAAGAAAGTTTGGGTGGGAATCTGGGACACTCACCAGACTGAGCTGGTACACAGTATGCATGACCAATGATAGGTCTGGGAATGGGGAAACAGCTCAGGAAAGGGATATGACAGTGCATTTTAAAATCCAAATCAGTTAATTTTTTGTGTGTGTTCTAACTTTGTACCTTAAACCTTACTGCTTGTGCATTGATGGGGAAGCATTTATTAGTGGCAAGAATAGAGGCTGATAGATGATCCTATTAGACTTCATATAGCTTGAAGGTATGTTTTTGGCCCATAGTGTTCTGGCAACCAGTGTTGAATTTAGTTCTTGTGGTGACCACCATAAAGTGCCTCTAAAATGTCTAACCAAAAGGAGTGTAGCTAGCCAAGTGCCCAACTACTGCATTCTTTAATTCATTATTATTTTCCTGCCAAGGCCACTGTTTCCATGGATGGCTCCCAAGTACTAAATGAGTAAGGCAAGAATACTAATGAAGACCATTCCATAGAGACCTGGATTCTTCTGATGACCATTTTTGGCTTGAAGATTCTCCAACAATTTTGCTGAAACTATACAACTGCATTGCAGTTTAAGACCTTGCTTACATCTCCTTCTTCAGGAATTAGTTCTGCATCATGGTATGATGACTATCCCAGTTTTTTAACTCTCTCTCTCTCTGCATATTCTTTCACATGCATTTCCTCCAATAACATTCTTGCATGTATATTTCTATCTTGGCATCTTTTGTTTTGTTTCATTTTGAGACCGTGTCTATATATACCTGGCTGTCCCAGAACTTGCCATTTAAACTAAGCTAACTTCAAACTCACAGAGTTCTGCCTGCCTCAACCTCCTGAGTACTGGAATTAAAGGTATACATTACAATGCCTGGCTTGACATCTTGTATTTTAGAAGATTTAAATCAAAATAGTTGTCCACATTATAATTGTGGAAGTTTTATATGTAAAATCTGTGTATCTCATATCTAGCTCTTCTCTAGTGATTATTTTCAAACAGGCTTGGTCTTGCTGGATCATCACTGCCCCCTTATCTCAACAAGAATTGCTGTTTATACTTTACTTACTTCCTTACTTCAATTAGAAATTTAATTATGAGAACTTGATGTAAATGAATTGTAGCCAGAGACTACTTGTTCATTTTCCAGCCGCCCAGATCCGAATAATCACACAGAAACTGTATTAATTGCAGTACTGTTTGGCCTATTAGCTCTGTCTTCTTATTAACTAACTCTTACATCTTAAATTAACCCATTCCTATTAATTTGTGTAGCACCATGAGGCTGTGGCCTACCTGTAATGTTCTGGCAGGCATCATTCTCATTTGGCAGCTACTTGGCATTCTCCTGAATCCACCTACCCTCTCTCTCTATCTCTGTTTGGATTTCACGCCTGATTTTGCTCTGCTAACCCATTGACCAAAACAGCTTTATCCAATAAAAGCAACATATATACAGAAGGGCATCCACCATCATCTCCCCTTTTCTGTCTAAATAAAAAGGAAGGTTTTTAACTTTAACATAGTAAAATTACATATCCAAAACAGTTATTAAACAAGAATTATAGTTATAATATTCAGTCCATTACATTTTGCAAATTAAGGAAAATACTCTTATCATCTATCCTATCTTTGTGAGTCTAAAGTTTCATATCTAATTTATCTTTTATCATAACTAAGGAAAACTATAACTATCTGTCTTCAATTCTTCAGAGGCCCCAGAAGGATACCTTTAATATATATATTTTAGTTTAGCTTAGCAGCCCCCAGAATCAAATATCTCTCTGCAACCAAAAATTCAAAGAAAACACCATAATATACATAATCCAGGCTCTTTGTGTATTTTCCATATTTATGTGGCTTTTTAAAAACTCTATTTCTTGTTTTTTATTTTTTAATTTTCAGTTTTTTGAAACTGTGTATCTTTGGCTGTCCTGGATCTTACTCTGTAGACCAGACTGTCTTTGAACTCATAGTGATCTGCCTGCCTCTGTCTCCCAAGTGCTGGATTAAAGGTGTGTACCACCACACCCTACTACCCTCTTTTCTTTTTTTTAGGACTTTCTCTATCCTTTTTCTTTTCTCTCTCAAACCTATATATATTTTTAAACACACTGTAAACCATTTAGAGGTTTTTAAAATGTAAATCTGTCTTTACTGTATATGTCTATCTTTTTCTGAGCACATGAGTCTTTAATTTGCTAAGTGATATGGCTAGGAATAAATCTTGAAGTAGATTGGTGCTGCCGGGAGCTGATATGTCTCACTGTCATGAAAAGTCCTGAATTTTTAAAACGTTTAAATGTTATATTCTGAAGGTCTCTGAAAGATTTGAAGAATAACTAAGTAACTGAAATATATCTCTATATATCTTGAAAACCTAACTAATATGACTACAATCTTGACTATTATAGATGACTATCTATTAACCTGTATTTCTTAATTATACATTGCATTTTTAAATGAACTACACCATCACAATACCTTAATCAAGAGCAGAAATATAGATATAACAAAATTGACCTCAAATTTGTATCAATAAACCAAGATCCATACCAATGCAAAGTATCCATCCTTATACTTTAAATGTAAAGAAACAATTATAAACAATATTTGGGAATATGGGTGTAGTTTTTTTTCCATACTGCTTCCTGCTGATTTGGTATACTGTTAATCAGGTCTTTTGTGGTATATCCTGTGTGCTAGGTTCATCTCAGTCAACAGTTGGGCAAAATAATTTTTTGAGGGTGTTCATGGCAGCCTTTCAGGGGGATGTTTTCTATCAAACCATATTTGTCTGGAAGTATTTCACATGTTCTCGCCTGTGGAAACAAAAGAAGAATCTCTTTTCCAAAGCAACTTATTTTTAGGCCTAAATTCTGAAGTCAAGATGTATAAATATACATGCTGGTTTAGCCTAGCAATCCATACAATGAAATGTCTCTCTGTACTTAGCTCCTTCACAGTCAAAAAAAATTCAAAGATAATACAATAATATATATAATCCAGACTTTCTGTGAATTTTCCATCTTTATGTGACTTATTTGTCTTTATTCCTTTTAATCCATGACTATCTGTACCCTGTCTCTTTAAAGACTTTACCCTTTTTTAAGCATTAATTTTATTTTATGATTCTCTATACTCCTTTTCTTCTATCTTCCAAGCCTAAGTACATTTATTCTCGTTTAGAATTCGTTTATGTCTGAATCTGTCCTATTGTGAATTTGTAATTCTTTACTGTCCAGGAGCACTTTTGCTTTGTGGTTTTAAAATGCTAAGTGCTTAAGAATCTAAACTGCAACATTACTTGGTCAAATAAGGTACCACCTGCTTGCTCCACCCAGTCCAGGATGGTGGAGCCGCTCACACCTCTGAGAGCCAAACACACCACCCCAGTTCCAGGCACACAACCATTCCATGTTGCCATTAAGAAAGCTGCAACAGTCTGCTCACAAGCCCCATTCAAATGGTCTGTCTTCTGAAAGAGCCAGAGGTTGCAATGGCAGTATAGCCCAGAAAGCCTACATTTCAAAACAACATGGCTTTTTTCCTCTGCTGCTGCTGCTGAGTCAGAAAAATCTCTCCTAAAGGAGCTGTGGCATGCTGCCAGCAAACAGCAAGAAGCTGTGTTAAACTCTGTATTTTTTCATCTAGAATTCCTTTTCAAGCCCTCTCAGGTTATATGTGGATTTAATTGTCTACATGGGCACCAATCTGTAAGCGGAGGCCTGCTTGTTCAACCTGACCACCCGGCTAGCTTAGCCCTGAAATAACCACAAGAAGCTGTATTAATTAAATCACTGCTTGGCCCATTATCTCCAGCTTCTTATTGGCTAACTCTTATATTAATTTAACCCATTTCTATTAATCTGTGTATCACCACGTGGCAGTGGCTTACTGGGTAAAATTTCCAGCATCTGCTTCTGGTGGCTCCATGGCGTCTCTCTCACTCTGCCCTTCCTCCTCCCAGCATACCATTTAGTTTTCCCTGTCTACCTAAGTTCTGTCCTATCAACAAGCCAAGACAGTTTCTTTATTCATTAACCAATGAAAGCTGCACATAGAAGAAGGACCTCCCACACCATGCCGTCTCTGGAACTGCTGGGTGGGAGCTGTGCTCACCACTTCAACTCTGGGAAGCACCATGTAGTACAGAAACCTTTTTATTTTTTGTCTGAGTAAAAGCTAAATCTGCCATGCAGCATGTTGTGTGGTCTGGAAATGTCTCTGTGTATGATAGGAGGAATCCACCATGTTCTCCTTTTTGTGCACACCTGGCAGACACCATCAGGCTGGTTGCCCAGGCAGGGAGTGCTGAGCTGCTGAGAGGCTCTCGGCTACTTTCCTCCTAACCCTGCACAGGCATACAAGCACCCAGATCCAATGTGCCCAGATCCAATGTGGGTGGTGGCCACATGGGTTAGCCCCAAATGTAGAGGCACCATTATGTAAATGGAGACTGCTTGTTCATTTCCTGGCCATCCAGACCAAATAATCACACAGCAGCTATATTAATTACAACACTGTTTGACCAATAAATCAGGCATATTTCTAGCTAACCCTTACATGTTGAATTAACCTATTTCTATGAATCTGTGTATCACCATGAGGGTGATGCCTACCAGTAAGGTTTTGGCAGACATCTTTCTCCTTCGGCAGCTACATGGCATCTCCTGACTTCACATACTCTCTCTATCTCTGTTTGGATTTCCCACCTGGCTTTACTCTGTGAAACCATTGACCTAAACAGCTTTATTAATTATCCAATAAAAGAAACACATATATAGAAGGACATCCCACATCAATGAACATTCCTTTAGTTCATATAACCCAATACATTACTTGGTAGTTATTACTAGATACTGGTAACTTTGAATAAAATGTCATCATCTTTGCTCTCCTTGGATTTTGTTTTCTTTCAAAAAAAAGCAATTAACCACAATAATTTGAACTAATAAATGTATAATTATGTTTTAATGAGTGCATTCTCAGAAAAAAGTAAAAGTGATCCTTGAAGAAATATTTATGGTATTGTAGATCCTCTTCTCCCTGTATCCACCAATTACCTTGATGGTTTCATTCAGTGACTTTTAATAATAATGAGCAACTCCAAAATTTGTATCTCTAGCTCAAATTTCTTTCTTGATCTCAAAATTCATATAACTAGCTGCCTCTCTGATATTTACACTTATAAATCAAGGATATATCTCAGATTTAACATCCCTATCAAATCCTCATCTTTTTCTGCAAAACTATATTTTCCTTATCTTGGTTAATAACAATTCCACTCTCTCAGTTTATAAGTCCAATCAACTTGGATCATTATTTCTCATTTTCCCCATTATATATCTAATTAATCAGCAAATCATATTGTCTGTACTTTCAAAAGTGTACAGATTTGGTTTCATTTTCACCATATCTGCTACTCCCACCCTAGTCTATAGTACTATTTTTTCTGCATTTCTGCTGCAACAGCAATATTTCATTAACCTACAAATAAATCTCTCTCCTTTCCTTGGCCATTTTATAACTTCTTAATACAGCAACCAAAACAGTCCACGTAAAATTCATCAACCTGTTAACGTATTTTCCTATAAAAATACAAACAAACAACAACAACCTA